ATCCGGTGCGGAGCGGGAGGAGGAGCTTTAGATCCTGAGTTAGTCAGGGCGCGGCCTGCTGCTGGGTTTGGCACGGTGGAGGAACCGTGCTGCTGTGAAATTCGGGGATTTGGGGAGGTCCAAGCCCTTCACTGAATTTTTTCAAACGTTTTACCAAGTGCCGCTGTGAATGGGGGTTCTCCTTCCCTCAGTCATGGCGTCGGACGGCACGGCATTGTCGGGCAGAGTGGATGCCGGGTGTCAGTTGGTGGGACAAGCCAGGCCCCTCGCTGCCCTCACAGCGTCCTCTTCGCCAGAGTGCGTCTTTGGGGCGTCCTGAACTGCAGGCGCGGCTTGGCCGTCACCCCCTGCAGCTGCGAGCCGGCATCCCGTGTGCTGCCAATGGCTACGGGGGACCCCCAACCCCTCCTCTTTTCCACATCCATCCAAATAGTGTCGCCTGCCAGGGTTTCCACCAACTCAACACGTTTGAAGGCACTTTGCAACGACCCAGCAGTTCCCGTGCAACGCCTTCAGTCCTGTTTACTGTATTGCCTTAGATCCCTAATCTGCCCTCAGATACATCCATGCAGCAGCCGGTGCAGTAACAGGGGTTTGTGCTGGTGTGTGAACACCTGAAGATGGAATTGGACTCCATGCCATCTGTAAAACACAGTATCAAACTCACACTTGCCCCAGACCCTGATCTTTTATTAATTTATTCCACTCAAAGAAAAAAAAAATGCAACCAAGTTCTTTTAAAGATATCTCTGGAGCCTGAGTTAGAGAAATGGCCTTAGGTGGATTTTTTTTTTTAACTTGGACATTTACTACAAAGAGAAAGAAAAGGTGCTGTTTAATCTCTCTTCGCATGTGATCCTCAGTCTCTACGTGGTTTATTTTCCCCACATACGATCTCCTTTGTTCTCTGGTAGTAGTCACCTAAACAAGCGATTAACAGATGAAGGATCAGCCTGCAATGCTCCTAGCTGCAGGATGCAGTGCAGGGAAAAAATGAAGAAATCCACACTGGTTATTTTTCTGACATGCCTCCCAGTACTACACTGACCCATCAGAGAAATCGCTGTTGTAGCACACACGCTTTTTTCTTTTGAGGTGTCCCTCAGCACTTCCCCAAGACCTCCCAGACCTCCCTGCACCTTCTTTCAATTAAATTGCTTTTCTTAACTCAGTTTGGAACTGTTTAATTAGAGCTGGTTGGAAGTTTTTCCCAACAAAGCGAGATTATTCAGCAGCTTTGAAAACCACTGATTTATCAGGAGAGAAAGACTTATCTTTCAATTAACTTCCTTCACCTGTGGGTTGCCAGGAGCTCAGGTTTCTCAGCTCAGTCACAGGTTTCCATTTGAATGACTGTGGGGCTGGAGACCTCAGGGATTCTTGCCTCTTGGCCATAGAGCTGGGAGCCAATGCTGGGATCCTCCAGTGTACGCAGCTATCGGGCAGTGCAGATGCCAGAAATTGGTATGATTACTTTGGTTTCAAGACACCATGAACTTATGTCATGAAACTGGCCAAACTGCTATCCCCAGATATTTCAATATTTCACATTTTTGACACAACAGTTCAACTCCATGAACATGTTAATGGTTTTGCTTTTAGTTTGGAATGAAGCATTTCTAGAAAGCATTTCCCCATGAAAGAAGGAATAACTGATCATCATTAGCAATGAAACCTATCAAAAGGGGATAACAAGCTTCACGGGCTGGAGGAGACAATAGGTAAATTCAGACTACATCTTACCACTCATGCAGGAGAGGTCTGGTTCTAATCCGGTTTGAAATCAATTGGAATCCTGGCAATCGGGAAGTCAATGAATATTTTTTTGCATTGATTTCAGTAGTGTTAGGACTTTATCTGGGATGACTTGCTAGGATAGACACTTCAGTTTAAACACAAATTGGAGCTTGAGGCTAGATTCCACTTTGTGATTGTGGATGGCTTATGCAAGCAGGAAGTTACACTTGATAGCCTTATAATTTGTTAATTATATAAGAGGTTGCAATGGCTATGTGGTTTACCGGTGGATAGATTTAGACTTTGTCCTGTTTTAACACATTTGCAGATGTTGCTGGTACCATTGCTTCACGGTCCTCTTTTTTACGTTTATGTGATGACCAGTTGGGTTTTTTTCTACTATGAATACAGATGTATGTATTTCTGAGAAAAAGAACTGTGACTGGCTAAGCAATGCAGTTCAGAAGAAGGAAGCCAACCTCTTTCCTGTGCCCAGTATTACATCATTTGAAACAGCACACTATCTCAAGATCTTCTAAGGACAGAAACTGCATCATAGTAGAAAGATTGAAATCTTAATTTCCAACAGCATAAAGGTCCCATTTGCAGTCTTGGAAAAACCAACTGTTATTAGGCGTAAAACCTATTCTCGTTACAGCAGTAAATGCTATCTATTGTAGCCTCAGTACACAAGGAAAAAATGCCATCTGCAGAAGGACATTATTTAATAAAAATATATCTACTTCTGTTAATTGTTCCTCTAAGAAAGCTTTAATTGAAAGGACACTGAAGTACCACGTAGCTGATTGGATAGAGGCTAAAATGAGGTAATTCACATTTTACTTTGGGCTCAAAATTGGTTGCAACCTTTGCGTTTTGCTGTGATTTGTCTCTAATAGGCATTCCCGCTGTTCTAAAAAAATTACTTGAATTCTAAGTTGGTACAGGAGATGCATATAAACAGATCTCACCTCCCCTCTTGCGAGGGCAATTTCTGCAACATAAGTTTAGGGGCTCTGGGATTTAAAGTTTACTGTCTTTTGTCTGTGGGAACTGGAGTGCCACTTTGCACATCATGAACATTGCCTGTGAATTACCTGCCTTAAGGGGGACCGTTAGCACATGAATCAAAAGTGGCTGACTAATGTAGAACATCTCAAACAAAAGGATTAGACAATAGCTCAGTGCACCAAGATGCATTTTAAATCACCTGAAGTGAAATTAGGTGCTTTTTAGTCTAATACTGCTCTTAAGTATAATGTTGAGCAATGACTGTGAAAATAGGAAGATCTGTGTACCCTCGTTTTGCTACAGAGAAGATGCCATCTATTTATTTTCTCTTTAAAAGCAGTCTACTTCCTTTACCCGTGGTAATGGTGCTTGCTCAGTCGTATGTGCTTCATTCATAAAGGAAGAGCACTGTATTCCTCCATGCCACAAAGTCCATAGTGATTCTCCTCTGATTATGTGCGTAACACTCTGGGGAATGAGACGATTATGCACACATCTTTTCCTATATTTTTATAATGAAAAAGAAAGGTTTTTTCAGATGCTCCAGAGTTACTTTCTGGTCCCAGTAAGAAACCTTTTCTGTGGCAGCTGCAGTGTGATGCTTGTCCTTGAGAATCCTGCTACAAAAACACCCATGCCTGAGCTCAGCTCCGGTCATCTGGGACGTGGGATCTTGCAAACACGGTGTCTCATCACTTCCAAAATTTCAGGGAAAGTTTAAAGCATCACTTTGCTAAATGCTATTCCGCTTGGTGACAAATGGAGAATACTGATTTCATCTGGTGTAAGGAAAAAAACAGGCAGGTCTGCAGGGTGCCTCCTGCTGTGGCCTCACCTGGCACACTGATCTGCTCGGTTTGCTGAATTCTCCCTTTGGGTGTTAAGATGATATGTGGCCTAACATGCTGTCTCACTCCATCTCCAAACCAGACACCATGGGAGTCTGAGACAGACAAAATTCATTGGATTTGGCCAATCCTGATCCTACTGAAATGGGAGCTTAATTCAGTGGGATCAGAATTTGGCCCTTAGGCAGTGAAGGTGCAGTGTTTACTGCGAAGAGGGTTTCTTTGATAACTTTCTAAAGAGCGTAGAGAAAGCAAACTACTGCTGGACAGAGAAAGTACAGCCATTTACTCTGGGCAACAGCTTTTGGAACGAGAAAGTTGAGCAACCAGGCTAATGTTCTCAGCAAAGGACTAGCAATACTTACTTATTTTAACTAGAGCTGCATGCTGGTCTTATTTGGAGGAAAGCTGTGCTGGCAGTCTTTAAAAAAAAAAAAATTTTTTTGGATTGACATGAAACCAGATTTTTTCAGACTGTATGGCAAATGGGGAAGGTCTTTTTCAGATTGAATAAAGTATTTCACACTGATTTGGGAAATTTCTAAAGGACATGAAAGCAATGTGAAAATAAACTCATGTGGGGTGACTGGAGCAATATTCACAAAACCCAGGAGGGGAGATCCCCTTTTGCACCCAGCAGTGCAAACTTTCACTCTTTAGGTGGGAGATTCCAACTGCTCGGTAATCCCCAGGTTTTCCTCTCAGAAGAATGTCCTCAGTGCCAGGCTGTAAGGCTGGCTGCCCAAACCATGCCTCACAGGCAGACCAAATGAAACTCCTGCGCTGGACGTTGCCTGAGAAAGTAGCTCTGCTGGATTCAAGGCTGCTGGGCAATTTGTATGCCGTAGGGTGGGCCAGGTAAAACAGCAGAAGCTGTGGTGGTGAGCACTGCCTCATGTCCCTGCTCTGCCACCAGCCCAGCCCTGCTCCCTGTTTTCTGAGAGATCTGAAGCTGCTGACCATTTGAAGGCATTGATACTTGGGGTGAAGAAAATTCACTGTGGCAGCTATAGAGGACACAGAGAAGCCTCTCTCTTGAATGCTGACGTGTCCAACCTCATATAACTCATGAACATTCACTGGGTAAGAAAACAGGTGAGGATTATGGTATGGTCTGGTGTCTAGGACACTCATCTGAATTTTCCAGTCTCTGCTTCCAAGCATCTTCAAAGGGGAAAAACTGAAGATGTCCCACCAGAATCAGTATCACTGTGAAAGAGGTATGAGGCCCATGATTTTAAGACCTACCTTTAAGTCAGTTAGAAAAAGGACTGGATATTCTATGATTCTATTTGCCTCCAGTCTCACAAAATTTAGTTGGTATGGCATAAGGATGCTCTTTTCGCATTTTCTGTTCTTTCAGAAATTGTTTTCAAGTCAGCTTGTAAGTCTTGCCTGAAAAATCAAAGCAAAAAACTCTTGCAAAAACACCAAAATAATCCCTTTCACATTTTAGTTCAGGTGAAACTGTTGACTAAATTTGACTTGACATTACAAGTGTTTGCATTTTTCTGTGACTAAGTGATTCCTTACACACTCTGCTCAGCTCTAGCTTGAGCTCTTCTGTTATTTCACCCTCCTTGTATTCTGCTTTGGGAGCATCTAAGAAAACTGCTCCGTCACTGATCCACAGCCTCCTCCGCAGGGACGGGCGGACGTGCTAGCTTTGTGGTTGCATTGACTTTTCCAGCAAACTGGTTTCCGTGATAAACACCTGAGGCACTAAAGAAATATGGCTTCAGTCCTCTCCTTCCAAAATCCTCATCAAACAACTGTTGCCAATATATATTCTACCCTAGCAGACATTTCATTCGCTCTATAATCTGTGGAAAACGTAAGAATTGATCTCTCAGCAGTGTTGCTAAAAGCTGCAGCCACTTTGCTTTGTTTTCACTTGGAGAGCGTAAATGTCTTTTTGGCAGATTTGATTT